AAACCATTAAAACATTGTTTTGCAATTGCAATAACATCATCATGAACGGATTCGTCGCTTAATGAGGTAATTGTTAAGCGAGGCACCACTGTAAAGTCCTTAAACTTGTAGGCTTTGGTGGATCAATCTGTTGGATTTGGTTGTTCAACCTTGTTCACAGAATATTATTATATGCAGCAGTCCAGGTTATATCATGTTCCATTTGTACTCTCATGTTGCTCCACTGCTTCTTCCATCTTTTCCTCACCATGTAGAATATGGGAAGATGGAAGAGGTATACAATATCCACTGGTAGTGGTAGCAGTTATCCATTGGGAAGCAGTACCTTGAGTTTATGTTCACCAGCAATAAAGGCTACTCACTGGGCTTCATAAACTTTCTGTTCTTGCTTTTTGCTTGGGATTACCACTATCAGGCAACTCCTAGTAATACATATGTAGCTCCTAAACTGCAAATTGCTAGGTAGGCCACAGGTTCTGCAGCCAAAGTGCAACGAAAACTCAGGTGTGACTCAGGTCTTAACACTGACTTGTGCAAGTCCTCAGGGCCGGAAAAAAGAAAGCCTTTTCAGGCTGAGCTCTGACCTGGGGTGGAGTGAGACAGCTGCACCAGACACCAGTTTCTGAATATTTATCTATTTTTATTTATTTATTTAAAACATTTTTATCCCACCTTTCTCCTTAAAAAGGACCCAAGGTGGCTAACATCCTTGAAAGACAATAGTTAAAGCAAAGAACAGTTTAAACAAATAAAGAGGTAGCTTACATTGTTAAAAGACAATAAAAAAGCTAAAATAATAAGTATGCAAATACTAAAAAGGAACAAACAATGCCACTCAGAGAGAAGGTAAACACAAGCAGTACTAAAGACCCAGTAAGAGCAGTAATGCAGAATAATCCATCTAAAAGTCACTCATGTAGGCAGTTGCTTGGGTAAAAAGCTTGCCTGGAAGGTCTTTGCCTGCTTTTGGAAGAATAGCAAAGATGGGGCCAGTCTGGCCTCCAGAATCTGGGAGCAGCAACAGAGAAGACTCTTTCCTGTGTCCTCCTTCCAGAATCTGGGAACAGCAACAGAGAAGACTTTCCTGTGTCCTCCCCAAACATACTGTACCTGTGAAGGTGGTGGTACTGAGAGAAAGGCCCCTCCTGATGATCTTAACACCTGAGCCAGCTCATAGTGGGAGACACGGTCTTTGAGATAGCTTGGACCCAGGTCATTTAGGGCTCTGTAGGTTAAAAGCAGCACTTTGAATTTTGCCTAGAAACTGATTGGCAGCCAGTGAGCTGCTGTAACAGGGGGTTGGGGGTAGCATGTGATCTCTAACCAGTCCCAGCCAGCAATCTGGCAGCTGCACTTTGGACCCACTGAAATTTCTTGACACTTTCCATTGGCAGTCCCACATAGAGTGAATTACAGTAATCCAGTCAGAAAGTAGCTAGGGTGTGTATGATAGGGGCCAGATCAGAACTCTCCAGAAATAGGTGCATCATGAAAAGGAAATGAATTGTCAGTCAATTTGTTATTATTGGATTTTCACTGTCAGGGATGGAGAGAGGTGCTTGTGGGACCCCCCCCCCAAAAAAAGTAAGTGAGTTGGCTTTAGATAGCATGTACCTTGACTTGAATGGTGGCAAGGGGGGGGGTGCTATTTACTTTGTGTGTTTCCTGAGCTGACCCTAAGATGTCACATATCCAGTAAAGCAATCCGGACAATCAGTGATCAATAAAAAGCATGTTTTTCATAGCACTGCAAAATGCAGTTTAGTTTGCTCTGTACATTACAGCAATGGCTCATAATGAGATATGGTAGTGGGATCATTCTGCTTGCTGACGTTATCCTCTCTGCCTCCCCACAATTGGTGTACTGTAATTTGTGAAAGAGATTTGGAATTACAGATTATGTACAAACTGCCACCACGTTCATGTATATGTACACAGATTATTCTTTCTTTCTTTTGTTGCATTTGTATGTTCTAGTGAGTTCAAGAGGTGGGTGGGCTGTCCTCCCTCAGTGTACAGTGGGGTCTTGACTTGAGAACTTAATCTGTATTGGAAGGCGGTTCTCAAGTCAAAAAGTTCTCAAGTCAAATCTGCATTTCCCATAGGAATGCATTGAAAAGCATTTGATCCGTATCTGCTCTTTTCCGTCCATAGAAACTAATGGGAAGCTGCTATTCTGCCTTCGACCACTAGAAGGGGATATTTTGTTTCTTTTTTCCTTAGGTCAAGAAAGGTTCAAGGAAGGCAGGGAAAATACAGTCCAGGCAGTACCAGGCAGTCCGAAGACTGTCTCCCAATCCACTCTCTAAACGCTGGGAGGAGTGAGGAAGCAGACAGGCACCCGTTTCACTGGCCAACAGTTAACTGAAAGTTCACTTTTTGCACTTTCCCTGCCTCCCACGTGGGTTTTTTTCAGTTTGTAACTCAAATCTAAGTATGTACTGTAAGTCAAGTCAATATTTTCCTATGAGAATGGTTCTTAAGTAAAAATGTTCTTAACTTGAGCCGTTCTTAAGTCAAGACCCCACTGTAGTCCTCACAACAGCTGTGTCAGGTGGAAGGACTGTGATCGGCCCAAGGTCACTTGGCTGAGTAGGGAGCTGAACCCCAGCCTCCTGAAATGCAGTCCAGAATTCTAACTACTGTGTGACATTGGCTGTCTGGTGTACAACACAAGCAAGCTGAGGAGCCACATTTTGCCAGCCCCTGTCCCCCCCCCCAAGCACCTACTGTAGGAAGAACCAGGCCCGGGAATAGACAAAAATAGTAAAAATAAAGAAATACATGTAAAATCCGATGTACATTCCTTGTTTTGATGTTTTGGTGGCTTGTAGGATGGGACGATCTTCCTGGTGCAACAACTGTCACTCTTGAAGAAAAGGCAATCCGAAATTTTTGCTGCTTTTTATTTTCTGGTATAGAGTAGCAACAGAGAAGGGCTCTGTGGGGCCAGTGGCCCTAGATATTGTTCTGGGGGGCATCTACCTGTGGACCACACATTCCCCAACCCTTGACATACTGTGCGCCATGCTCATGAGCTCTTTCACATGTCATACCACACATATGTCTGAAGAAGAGCCTCTGGATGCACTCCCTTTGATGTGCACTCATTGTAATAGGCAAAAATTCCCTTTTGCTTGGCTTCGGTCCTCATACTGCATTTCTCTCTGCAAAACTGAACTCTTCCTCTTCCACTCCTGTAACACTTAAAAACATTTCCCTACAAATCTTTGGCACAAATCTGCCCAAATTAAACTTCTTTCCAAAAGAATGCACAAATATTGTTATTCTTCTGGTACAGGTTTTAGCTGGACTAGAGATAAATAAATTTATGGATGGACTGTGTCCATCCATAAATTTTCTCTGTTTGTGACTCTGAGGCTTCAGAAATTGCAATAATTTGAGATCATAGTTTTACCAGTCCTTGAGGGGTCATGAAATATTAGACTATAAAGCAAAAGTGTCACCTGAAGTTTCTAAACAATTTTTTCTGGATAAGTCTATAAACCTTTCAGAAACTTTAAAAGGCTTAAGGTCTATGATTTATTATTTATGTTCTTGTCTCAAGGAGTTTGGCCTTCTCTTACTGCTTGTAGTCTGGACCTGGCTTTAGGCGGCATTTGTGATTTCCAGAAGAAGCTACTGCAATTATAAGTTAATCTGTTTTTTCTCACTTCCTAAATTATGCCTTTTCCTGGAATATTTCAGGGTGTGTTCCGCACAGAAGCAAAACTGTTTTCTCATGTTAATTACCTGAGGGCATTTCAATCTATGCAACTATGTCCTCAGCATAGGCTGAATGCAGAACAAATCCCAAATGGGTTGTACCTACTCTCTCTGTATGACCACAGCTTAGCCTAATGCCCAAAACAGAGTGTATGTTTTCTAACACCCCCCCAAAAAACCCCCAAATTCTGCCATCTTAAAGTATGACAGTATCCAAATTGAAACAGTGCATGGAATATAGCATCCAAACCTTCATTCTCAGCACTTTTTGATTCCTCGGCGTTATGGCTTCACTACACTACAGTGATAACAGACATCAGAGCTGACTGAAATATCTCTTCCATGCAGCTCTGAGAGGAAATGCAGCTCCATGAGAATCCAGACTTGGACTTCACTAATGATAATGGTCAGGGGCTTTGCCAGTCCCAGGGTTTTCCAGGGACCGCATCAGTCCCTCCAGATGGAACTGAAAATAATTGTAAGACAACTGGTTTAAAAGAAAATTGACAAAAGACAATTTAAAAAAATCTTCTTCTGGTTTCAGAGCAGCAAGACATCCCCTTCCCCTGCCAAACTATGGATATCTATCTATCTATCTATCTATCTATCTATCTATCTATCTATCTATCTATCTATCTATCTATCTATCTATCTA